CTTTCCAGGATGAATTTATTTCTTTGCAAAAACCGTTGAGCCGTTGATCGATCGATGATTGCGGATAATCGAGTATAGTCTATTCGTTCGATTGGATTAGACGAGCCTGAATTAGGCATTGGTGAGATGACCTTAGAACAAGCCATCTTGAAATATTCAGTAAAACTGCAGAAGGTGTTAACTTCCAGTTACCAGAGAGACTGCAAAACAGACCAATTCAAACGTTATCATTGGAAAACTGATCGAGCAAATTTCTCTTTCTCTCGAAGTTGGACAATCGTACATACGTTCGGCACAACCAACACGTGTCTATATGTTCGTCTGTTTATCATCACGCTATATTCATTTGTAGTAACCTTCGGATTTCGCTAAATTGATGTCTATGATGTAAAATGACGCGTTTATACGAAGTTTGGAGTTGATGGGCTAATATCGAAGTTGTGCAGATGTGTCCGAAAAGGACACAAGTCAATTGCGAAACTGGCTAAGAGTTACGAATCACTCTCCTCTAAGTCGCAACTATTTAATTGGACATTTTTCAAGGTTGAAAGGCTAATCAGCGTATACTGTTAGCAAGTACAAAAGATACCGGAGTGTTAAATAGTCATACTCTGTCGAAATGAAGCCTGCATACTTTTTAATTGCTTGCGGGTTCAACGAGCATAGAATTGAGGCATGCAGCCGAAATTAAAGGTCAAACTTAAGCGATCGATGACCTGAGAATAAGTTCGAAGGGAGTCTTTGTTAAATTTCGTCCTCGCTTTTTCGATGTCGGAAATGGAAGCTCTTGAGGTTCTCACAGAGCTTTAGAGATGAACCGTTCCAACCTATGCGATACCCTTAAGACGGGTCAAACAATCAGTATACTCTCAATTGCAAAACGCTATCCATATCTGAAAAGGGACTCAGTGTGTGCCTTGCCTTCTATTCGAACAAAGCTTTCTGCTGCAACCAGAAAGTTCTCTTACCTTTCTATGCCTACCACCTTTACCCCTAACTTTCTAACTGTAAGATTTGTTTAATTTTCATGCGCATTTAATTTAAGTAAGCCACATGAAAACGGCATATATAACGCTTAACATACGGAAAAAATTTACTTAGATAGTTGACAAGTTACCTTCTCCAGCGAAACCTCTAGTTTTCCAGGTACGAAAGTGAGCGCATTGTGGTCTATGACAAAAAAAGGCATAAGATACTATTACACATTTAGGTTCCGAACTAATTGCTCTAGGATCTTCGTCTTCGTGAAGTGACTCATTAGAGCTCTACTAGAATTACTAAAGCGAAGGCTTGAATTTGTCATGGGACACCTCCCTAAGCATTACACCAAAGCACTTCATACATAACGTCGCCGATTCCTTAGTCTATCACCTACTTAATGCAGAATGGTAAAAGATCAACATTTTGAAGATTTTTCCGGTTTTTTTTCATTACCTAGCGAAATGCACAAAAACGACCAGCAGCAACAATTGCATACTATTGCATATTAGCTATTAAATAGTTAATAATATAACTATTTAATAGGTAATATGCAATAGCATGCAATCCCACTGGGTACTGCATTATTTAGTAAGTAATTTGTAACGCCTAAGAGCATAATGTAATATATACAACTACACAGTACAGATGGAGTAATGCTGAGCCTTAGTTTGATGTATCATACGACTCAGATCAGAAAACTTATTTGAGCGTTCTTTGTTTTTAGTATCGCTAAAAAGTTTGTTCTATTCAAATAGCCGTCACTTGAAAAAATGTAACGTACCATAGCGAGCTACCGCCTGAAATTCGCTTTTCTAATTTAGCCAGCGATGACTAGAAAATTATCGGCCGGTAGTAACGGTACCTATAAAGCAATTTACCGACTTGCCTTTCGTTCGTCATGTACTGGGGGCTCTTAACTTCGGTGTTTGCCTTAGTCTAACTGATTCAAAGGTAACCTATTCCTCTCAAGGTAAACTCAACGCAAACATATAATTAGCAAACGTATCATTAATTAATAATTTAGTAAGTCAATAACTTAGTTGCAAGCTTCGTAGATTTTAGCGCAGTCAAGGTTGGAAGGATAACAGAAGACCTCTATACGCCACTTATACCGGATACATAAGCGGATATCACTCGAAGTGCAAATCAATCGGGTACAACCCGCACGTTCTAGACATGCTAAGAGAATGAAGAACCGTATCTCTACGACAGAACGCTAGCGCGGAAAGATGCAGAAGAGTTGATTACGTATTTTCTTGCAAAAAAACTCTAAAATATTATATCACAGAAACAGATATCTCACTAATGGCAACATACGTTGCTATTAAGGTCTGATTGTGCATTAGAATTAAAAGGACCATTCACAAAGCTAAAAAAAAAGCGCTTGCAGATATCCTGTGTTTTTGGGCATCTTGGCATTTGTATAGTATTTGGTACTAAAAACATTCTCTTTCTTATATAATGAACTGTTAAATGCAAGAACCTTTATTGGACAAGCGACATGTGCCAAAAGCGACATTTTAGTATCTACTATAGGCGTCTGGCATCGACAATAGGTACGATTTGCTTGCCTGCATCGTTTATGCAGTATGCTTACATGCTGATTTGTCGGTTTCATATGTTGTTATACGTTTAACTTTCGAATAGCTTCTGGTGAAAAAGTTTCAGCTGATATCTTTGGACCAGTTTGAACAGACGTTTTGTGAGAACGACTGCAACTGAGAAGCAAGACATCGACTATATTTTTTGATGCTTTAAATCCGCTGGTACCGTTGGGCAATGCTTCACACAACCGGCACCCTCAGCATGATGCAAGCTGTGGCTACGCCTAGTTATGAACTTAGGCTATCTTACATGGTCTTAAACTTAGTAGGCAAACACGTCACTACTGCACCATCCTGGACACCGGAAACCTTGAGTAGCTGGAATATACTCAATTTTACTCCAAGCGCTATGTGAATTATCACTTTAAATTTTAATTCAAATTGACATAAAGAAGAATTGATGATTATGTTCGTGCCAACAGTTTACTCGGTGCTACAGAAATTATCGTTTCAGAAACGAGTAACCTCAAAGTGTCAAAGTAAGGCTGGCAGAACACGAATCGATGATTTACACGATGTTCGACGAGTTACTTATCCTCATGGAGAACTAACCCTAACCAAGGTTTGACAATTTCAAAGACAATCTTCTATGTCATATATTTTCATTCATTTTTTAGTAGATACATAAGCAGATAAATGAGCGCAATAACCCAAAGGACGTCGAATACGGTAAACCGGAGCGACCGTTCAAGGCAGACACAAACTTTGTATAAATTATGAGTTTCAAACTTAGGTAAGTTTGTTTCTGGCTAAAGGTTAACCGTGTAGTATGATTACTAACGCAGTTCTGTACGTAAACTCGAAAGATTTAGCCGAAAAGCATAAACGGAAAGCAGCGATCTTTTTTTATACTTTTTTATATACAAAACTGAATATCAGTGCTATGAAAATATCTGTAGCGTTCGGCCCCAGATATACTTCCTAAAGTCGATGATCCTGTACAATCATATCCTATTGTGAAAGACTGTAAACACCAAGTAAATTTACCATTCAAAATGTCACACGGTTCTGTAGAAATTCAACTCCGTTTTGTTCGATTAAACTATCATTTAACCCACCGGCCACAATTGAAGGGACGATTAAATGGATTTTTTCTACCGCACGTAACGCTAGAACAACATTCGAATGAGTCGTTTATTTGAACTACGGTAAAAGGTGCATCCAGCGGCCCTGGGGAGGCTCAAACCGGGCATTAGACGCACATTTTATCGAACTAATAGGAAATTCAGGATGCTATGCGGCAGAATCAAAAGCCATAGTAGGCCAAAAAAAAAAATATATATATACAAATACGGTATATACTATCATTACACGGAGAGCCGTGGACATTTGGGAACGGATTTATAGTTAGTCTGCAGTGGAGTTGAACAATTCCATAAATACATATTCCACACAATATATGAATTTTATAGCACATGCAAACACATTTTTTTAAGTGAACTGAGTAAATTTAACGGAATAAGAAAACACATCAAGTAAATAGACTTCCGTTCATACATATAAAATTATTAAATTCACCAAGATTCTAAATTCAGCCTTCCAAGATCTCTTTGCACTTTCGGTGTTAACATAGGTTCTATATAATAACAAGCGAGATGTGCAGATTTCAAGCAGTGCAAACTTAACCATAATGAAAGGTATTATTAAAAAAAAAAAAGGAAGAAGAACAGGGTTTTATGACCTGACCACATAGCTTGGCTTTTTCGTAACTGACTAAATTGGATCCCTCAATAGAGGTAAAGTGCCCGCTTTTCCTTTCCTAAAGAGAATGATTTACTAAGAAGAAAACAGCCGGGAGAAGACCTGCACAACCGCACATGTATACCTCCTTGAACGAAGTCTATGCTAGACGTGTACAGTTTGTGGCAACGCTAGCATCCGTTAATTAATCACCTTAACGATGTTTTGTTTACTCCCTACAACTACCGACAGTCCATATCAAACTTGGCTACCTCGCATGTAAACTCTTAAAAATAATTCCATGGACTGTAGAGAATGTGAGTCGAACACTACAAAGCTCTCGATTGTCGTAGATTTTCTTGCCGCGTGTCACTCTGACGCGACTGCCCTGTAGAACTTACTTCTTTAGGCCAACTGAAGGTGAAATGAATTAACATTTATACAAACACTCCGACGATAGCACTTAGCTTTGAAGGGACTGTGCAGCGCGTGTGTTAATGCCTAGCGAAATAATTTAAGCTGCGGTGAAGTACAAGCATTTCAAACAAGCATATACTCCATATTAGCTTAATCGAACAAATTATCCAAATATCTCAAGCTACAAAAAATATCATATATGAAAATATTGCAAAAATGCCAACAGTAGCTCAAAACATTTGACAGTCATTCATATACAATTACCACCGCCTTGACTAAAACAGACATAGAAAGGAAATTAACAATAAATGTCTTTATTTGAGATCAAGTGAGCTTACAAGAAGCTCTACCTTACTTTTACTATAATTAAGTATGCAATGCGTGTTATTTATCTTTTGTCTGAGTAGGTGAACCAATACGATAAGCAGTTTCCACATAACTATAATATAAAGGGGCTTCTGGAAACGTCAACTCTTATATTGGCAAATAAATATATATATTACCAGAAAAATATATTTTCATTCAGTGCCATACTTATCGATGTACCTAAAATGAGTGCTTTATAAATGGCGTCATGCATTGCAGGTGGTCGCATAACAGCCTAGTTTAGGCTATTATGCAAACCACAATGAATGCATACTATGAAACTACGGTCTAACACTGAACTAGTATTCATTAGATTTGATCACCTCCGTCCACCAATCACCTTGAACAGGACGGCCCTCCTATTGCCTCCATTGCTCCTCATCGGACTCGATCGATAACTAAGCTGCCTCCAACGGCACTCGACAAACTAGTACAAGCCCATCCCAACATCTGATAAAACCCAACAAAGCTCACGACGGCATCTGCGGTTAGGATCGCACCTCAGCTCGGGTTTGCGGTTTGACCGATTAGGGATGATGTGTTATCGCAACAAATCTCTTCAATAGTATGGAGCGCGGCAGCGGCCGTGTCAATCTTGGAGAACAATAATAGCGCAGGGACAAACCGAAGATGCATTTTGCCCGAGTACGGCAGTACGCTCTGCTCCGCAACGCTATGTCAATTTAACGTAAGCAATTATGTTCACATCCGATGAAAATTCGGCTGGTCAGATAAAATTCTGCGGCTACTTTCAAGGAAAATTTTGCTTGAAGCGAGCAATACTTGCATTTTACAAAGTCCAAAACAGAAGATGTCCCCCTAAAAGCAAAAAGCAAATAGAAAATATGAATATAACATAAGGTGTAAATTTTGATTTAGATAACAACAAAATGAATTGTTATGATATTGTGACAGATTTCGTTAACCATTTTATTACGCTGGCTATGTGCCAGCAAATAGCGCACTCGAAGAATAAACTATGCATAATCTCATCGTAATCACGTATTTAACAAACTTCGTTTAGCAACACATGGAAGTTATTCTGTGTTGACGCTTATCATGTATAGGAACTTGAATAAACTTAAAAAATAAAAAATATGAATAGAACTTAAACAACACACTGAAGAAAATAATGGTACATATATTAGCCCACCTCTTCCAATATCGACTCTCTACTTTCTTATAACTGCACCTTTGTTATCGAAGCAGGCGACGACGCAGGTGCAGCATCCCTAGAGAAAAACTTCAAAACGTTAAGCGCGCAAACAGCACAACCCCCGTAAAGAGTAAATAATAGAGTTAATTAGTTCGCTTTATGGTGAAACTACTAGTGAACCCAAGCTGAATTTCTAGATTAAATTTGGCCTGAATCTCACCTTTGTTGTTTGGGCGATAGCAGTGAGTATTGGAGTCAACCCTGGCCCTCTTTCCCGAAAAGCTTTGGTTTACTTTCGCCTTCCTTATAGCGAATTCATGTTGTGGGTTTCGTCGAAATGTTTTTTCAAAACCTTTACATATATTATCCTGTGCTATTCAACCACATAGTATTTGCGTCAACATTCCAATAATTTTTACTGTTTCCAATTTGTTCTTTTCTACTATTAGTTAGCGATACTTTGACTCCAAGAATAGATAGGCACACTCTTTACATCGTTGCGAGTAGGTCTAACTAAAAAAGGAACGCTGCAGTCATCCTATAAGAGGCCATCCGGTATCTAGAAGCGAAATATCAAACTGCAATTGTCTAATCATAGCGTTAGCAAATATTATAACCAAAAATCGATTACAAGGAACATAAAAAATACTATAAGTAAATAACTGTATATATGTTTCATAAGTTCCTTGGAGAAACCTACAGACAGCATAATAAGTAACCTTCAGAATTTTATTACCGGAAAAGCAGAAATCACTTCGAATTAGTTGTCTTACAGTTTTGTTGTTTTAACATAAAGCAGATGGCACTTGTAATAAAAATATTTATTATAAACTAATTACCTTAAGTTTAGTTCACTGATACGGTTTGCAATACATAGACTGAATCAAGTACACCTTTGTGAATAGAACATAGAATTGACTTTTTGCAAGATATGGGCCAGAAACTCACCGTAAATGATAGCTATTATTGACACAGTTTACGTATTAACAAAATAAACTGTATATACGACATTTTGTTTCTAGCATAAATCTTACAGATATGCTAGAGCTAGTTCCAGTCACAGGCACATGCCGGATCTTACTTTCTACCCACATGAACGGACAAGGTAGGTCTGATTTATTAGTCTGCATGTCGCTCTTCGTCGTGAGAATTAACACGTGAGGGGTTTTAATTGTGGGTAGTGCCTGTCGACGCGACTCGCTCGATAGTTTCGGACAAAGCGGTCAATTGCGCGTGGCGAGCTTCAATCTGATCATCAGCAATTCGACACGCCTTCGAAAAATCGGCCATTGCGTTAACGTGATCTTTCCAAATTTTCATTTGTTCACCATGGCCTTCGATTAGTTGACACATGACGTTCTTTTTCATGGTTACTGAAATATGTAATGACACAGGAAATATATTCATTATTATGATTCCATCAATGCTTTTAGTGTAGCTTCAGCAAATATTTTCTCCTCACATGGTACCACTGTTTAAAGAAATGTGATGAACTTCGCTGTTTATTGATTTGTAATGCTATCTAAAATAGTAATACTTTCGTTGATTATTTTTAGATTTCATTATTCCGCATACAACGAAACAGGTTCTTCTACCTGTCGTACGCTGCACGTTCTCAATGATACCGGCCACTTTTGTCGTCTCATTTAACAAATGACGTCGACGGGTTTCGGCCTTCTCACGTTGTTCTTTTAGCTGCTGTTCAGTTTCCTCGAGCGCCAGCAACGACTCTCGAACTTCACGGTCTTCTTCCTGAATCTGTAATCAACAACTACGGTTGTTGTTAGATCCGGTGAGCTCACAACTTAAATCACAACTCATACATGCTTTTTAATAGAAAAATCATCCCTACAATCTAAACGATATTCGCAATTTTTACCTTTTCGAACTGATGCTTTCGGGCCTCAACTAGGGCTTTTAGCTCCCCTAGTTGGGATTCAAGCTCAAGTAGGGTTCTCGCTTGGGCTGCCGTACTACGCTCACGTTCTTTTTCGCTCTGTTCAAATTATGAATAAAAAGTTGTGCACAGATTAGCAGGGTTGCAGCAGACATAAACGCCTTTGGGGTTAGTTTTATCCTCAACGCATTTCAACTTGTCACTTCATCAAGAATTGGCATTCATTAAGGTCCTTAATAGCGATCACCCACTGCCACCCATTAATAGTGTGCGCTCGAAAGAAGTCTCTTTCCGTTCAAAGCATCTGACTGCTGTTTGCAGGCGTTCAAACCAAATTTACAAACTTTACTTAAATGGCTAATAAGCCAAAGCATGCAAACATACATAAAAACAATTTGTGCTCATTACACAAGATTGTTCATCGTATAGGTGATGCAGCTTACCCTTTTCTTTTTTATACATTGGTTTTCTTTCATAAAAAGCATCCGGTCGACTTGCAACGATTTGCACTGAATAGTTATCACCTATGACCAACAATGTCTTGTGATTACCGTACACTTTGAGACATAAAACAGTCTTTAAGGTTCCTAAAAACTTTATCATACCTGAGCGAGTTCTTCATGCGCACTTGCAGCCATTAAGGCTTGCTTGTGTATTGCCTTTGATCGCTCGAGAGCGTCCTGGAGCAACTGTAAATGTTCCGTTGCTTCGAAGAGGGCATGTTCTTTTGATTCAACTTGCTCTTTATGAAGCGAAACTTCCTAGAACCATAATTTTCGAGTCAGTGATTAACGCAGCTCGTTTTCTGGGAAAAACAATTACTATTCGTGAATGTGTAACACTATCGGTGAAATATAATTAAATATTAATTTAAGCAAGGCAAGGTTTGATGGAATGCCAACGCAATTACAAACGTAAAACTCGGAGAACTACTTGGCGTATATTATTTGGATTGTAGACGAATCGCCACTGAATATTTCTAAAGCAGTGCCTTAAATGGGTTGAAACCCTATTTTCAAATTATTGCTGTCATTACGCGCTTGCAATCTTAATGGCGGGGCTCATTCGTTGTATGTAGGATTTTCTATTGCATGTAAGACATACCTCTCGAAGCTCATGAAGCTTCGCTACACACGTGTCGGGATCCTCAACAATCGATGCACGTAGATCAGTCAGTCGCTCTAGGCGCCGTTCCAGCTCAGCCTTAAGTCCGTCAATTTCGTTAGCCGCGTCTTTCACTTGTTCCTTAAGTTTCTCGTAAGCTATTTTAGCTACACCAGACTCCTTATCCATTTTCTCCTTTCTAGAATGACATTATCCGAATAAGAGATGTAGGCCGCACAAAATATAATTTGCATGAAAATTTATGTAGAATATCAAAATCCCAAAGTGAGTTACATTGGTTCGATCGTTAGTGAACTGTAAGGCTTTTTCTGGCACAATTCTAACACAGTTCCATTAGGTCGTTTGTACAATCTATACCACATAATAAGCTAACTATATATACAGGCAAGTATATATACTGCGAAGGAAAATAAGAGTAGGACTTTTTTAAATTTAACAAGACGATTGAAAGGATAAACAAATAATGTTATTTGCAATTATCGATAATGCACTTATAAAACTATTTACTTACAAAATCTATAGTAGATATCTAGCTGCAGGAAAACCCTTATTACTTCTACCTTTCACTAGTCTCAGCAAGAGCTTCGGCGACACGCAGTTCCTCTAGCACCTTCAGTCGCTGAACGGCGACATTGAGTTCATTCCTTTCGCAATCGAGAGTTTCGCGTTCTCTCTGAACTTGGGCGCCCTTCTCGTCAAGATCTAAACAGACTTGTTCCACAATTTCAAACACCCGATCAGAATGGTACAAGTACCTGTAATAGAACAGCAAACATGAGACATATATCTGCCAAATCTAATGAACTATATTAATTTAAAGGCATTTCCACTAGATAATGCTTCTTCTTACCAGAAAGGCCCAGCATTAAACGAAACAAAAAAAAAATAATAAGAAATAATTCATAGCTAAACCAATGACAGTTGCTGGCAGGACCCTTATTTTTTTAGTAATAATTGGGTAAACTTACTAGAATATCTGTATATGGAGCACAGGTAATTTTTATACAGTTAAAGTTATTCGTGTACGCCACACTATAATAGAACAAAGTAGCTATAACCATTCCTGGTGGTGAACTGATTTAAGCAACAGCTACCTGAGCGCTAAATACACATTATTATTTAAACTAAAACCTCTACTTACATGAGCATCTGCTGTACCATTTTCTCGAACTTCTTTGTATCTGGTTTGATGATGTCCATCAACGTGAACTGCGCCGACCTCTTGCTTAGTAATTTTAGAATCTGTTTCATCAAGATCATCCTCAAAAAGATAAGTCCAAAAGAACATGTAACAACCTACGCTAACAGCAAACCTTGCAGGAGCAAGCAAAACATATACTGGATTGTTCTTCAGGAATATATTAGACACACGGGTAGGATAAAATAAGACATTGTCTATTATATCAAAACGGTTGCTGAACCCGTAGTTACCTATTTACGGCAAAACTGGTTACAATGGAATTTGGATTATGGTTCTCTAGATTGCACGCTAGAGGCAGGCTGAGTGCCTCATCCCTGATCATAAGAGCGTTAGTGGCAAAATCCGCAAGGACTCGTTGAACTATTGCTCGCGTCGGGGCTGCTATTTCCTCAGGTGTTACTTGGGCGACGGACTTCAGATTCTCGCATAAGCGGGCCCGTGAAACGTCAGGCCGTGAAGCCATCTTATGAACCTAAGCCTTAAAACAATACCTTATAATATATACATACATATGTATAAGAAACAAGTAAGCAGCAAATTAATACTAACTACTATTATTAATACTAGCTAATTATCGTTGTTACTACTATTATTGAGTTACATATAATAGTACATTTAAATAGAATAGATTTAAATTATTTAGATAATTGCATATGCTATGTGTTTGCAGCTACAAGAAGTGGAGAAGCGCAAACTTCAGATACACACACTACATGCGCTCTAGGCGAAGGTAATGCTATATTGTTATCCGTTCTCAACGTTATTTTTAAAAAAAAATTTTCTACACAACACAGAGTGGTCCGCTGTACTATATAAACGTACTATCTAAATAAAAAAAAATATTTACTGTGATGTGCTAGCAACATTCACGCTTACGTATATTCACGAACCCACTTTACATCTTAAGAGCACTTTTTTGAGCTGGATTTGTGGTTCATCACGTATATGTCAGTCATGAATTTGTGGGGTATCAAGTAATATAAGAAAATTCAAAATAACACTTTCTTTCAGTCTACAAATATACATGTAATTCATAATTAACAAAAGAAGTTTAATCACTCAATCTGCTTCATTATCGGTAGCTATAACACTGATATGAATCTAGAAAAAAAAATGAGGTGAGCTTTCTAGAACCAACCTTTTATTTGCTTAATGACTCACACAAAAGTCGTTCGCTTATATTGTAAATTAGAGTAACTACAACCTAACACAAAGGTTCGCTCTCGTTAAACGTAACCGGCAATGCGAAGCAGACAACTTTTTGAAACGTTCGATGAGTTCCGTCAAATATGACATTAGACAGATCTGATATCAACACTGTATCTTTCCGATCAGATTTTTCCGAAAATTTATTTTGAAACAACAAACATAAGGATCACATAGTCAACGGGTGAGATGAATCATGCCTATTTAGCTACACTAATTTGTATCACGAATATTGCACAGTGTCTGTTGTTGACCGCCTTAAACAAAGTCGTCGGAAATTTCTATTTAGACAACTAGCGCTACCTCTGTCTTAGGCAAGGTGTTTATCAAGCCTTATATCGAAACTACGGCTTATATAAATGTACTGAAGAATCCAGTGGTGCCTCACCTTAGCTTCACTGGCATAACGTATATGATCAAAACGTGATGTCCTAAGATGGTCCATTAAAGTGAACTAATATAAAATATCACGAACTAAAATCAGCAAAATATAAATCAGAGTGGCCGTTTAAAGTGCGCTTGTAAAATTACATTATTTCAACATTTCGAAAAGAGGTATCACTGCGGAGAAACTACAGCCATGTATAAGCGCTGACCTAAATAGGAGGCGAGCAAGTCAAACTAACCCTTAAGATCATAAAATGAGGTGGAAATCGTAGCAGCAAAAAATTATTATACGATTGGCATTTGTTCAAACAAATAATAGCAGTTAATTATTGTAAACCCTTTCATTATACGCACCTTGTCCGAAAAGAGTGCTTCTGACATTGTTAATCAGAGGTTACTAGATAAACAGAGTAAAATAGGCACGTATGCGGGCACAGTCAATTCTAAATTCTATTTGGACTTCTGATACGTAAAATTAAGCATAATGACAAATTTAGCGCACCTCACCTGCTGGTGCTTGCTTTTCTACAAAATATGACGTAGTGTAGCCGTAGAATGGAACTGAAATCCGTTCAGAGCAGTAGTCATTTAAATATGGCATCAGATCTGTGTGCACTGTTGAACGCGTTACTAAAAATGGCTATGTATAGCAACCTATTCTGCCTCAGTTATCAGTAAATAAGATTAGTTTGTCCCCGTGATAGCTTACTGGGTAACGTATTTACCCCCTAATCCTAAGTATAGGTTGTGGCTTAGGTTTGAACCGAGGCATAGACAAACTTCATTTCGTGCTGAAAGTCCGACGGAATATCTAACGGCGATACCAAACGTAAAACTCGAAACATAGATACTTAGTTTATTTCTTTCTCTTTTTATCTCTGCTTATTAACTGATTGAATGGAAATAGACTTTTTTTTTAAAATCTTATATGGTTAATTGCGAAAACGCTAATACGCACGCAAAGACTGGGTAGTCTGGGGCCTTCTTTAAATTAAAAACGCGTATGCCAGCAACCCCTGGCTTCTGCGCCGTTGAGGCATTTCGTCTCATCCGCCGGTCGAGGCCTTCCGCGGACACAACTTGATCCACAGTTGGCATACGCAATTTATTTAAATAAGGAAAAATATTATTAACAGATTTGCAATATTAAAAGACCTCGTCAGTTCGCGTATAATTTGAGGAATTAGAACCTAAAGACCTATTTTGGCGTTGCCCCTAGCTCATCCGACAGACAATATCAAACATTCAATTGCTTCGCTCAATGAGGAGCGCAATTAACGTCGTTCTCTCCATTTTCATGTATATGCACCTATAGAGTGAATATAGCCATTTCAGTCCCATATCTCGAAAACTATATGTTTATATACCCATCGCATTTACGAGCCAATCATTTGCCTGTCAAAAAAGCTAGTGTCAATGCTTAAAGTTGTAAAAAAAAATCAGCTTCCTTGTTTCGCCCGTGAGAGTCTTCCTTTTCCTTAAATACTGATGCGTCCTTGCTTAAGAGAGGATTATTCATTCATTGAGATTTTTTTTCATATATATTTTTTACTGAGAAACAAGTTGCTCAATAGCACTAATCACTTTTGTGTTTCTAATGTTTTATCAATGATTCAAGAACTTTTCTTGTGGACTTCCCGTATCTTCATCTGTTCATTGTAACTTTCTCTCACGTGATGCCAAACGTTCACTCAGTTCGCAGCTGAAACGGATGACAATCGATGTCTAGTAGCTGCTAGTACGACGAAATGAATGCATCTTACTTGTCTCAACCATGCTAATATATGTTCCTTTTCGATATATCATTAATGCTTTTAGTGGGAGTAGCTGGATGACGCACGCATGTGGCTCTCTTTGGGTCCGTGTGGTTCTTTGACTTTTAAAGAAGATCACTACTGGGCTAACCGTATAAACGTGTTTGACGGTCAAAAGCAGCATCAACGAGAGTAACCACAAATATTTGCTAAAATTACTTTGTAGATGGCGTTATAACTTCACCGATCGCCTGCTGGGTGCTCTAGAACGACTCGCAGCTTTCGCTTAATATATCGCGTTGACAAACCTCAGCGTTCTAGGGTTCATGTTCGACTTGTAGCTCAGTTGCGCTCAATAGTCTATACTGACATGTGAGCTTCACGAGTTTCCTGTTCGGCCTGCACTCAACAATTCGAGTTATTATTATTAAAAAACACATTATCTATGGGTGCAATATACTCCTTGTGAGAAGTGAGAAGCTCATAGATTGACTTTTAGTTATATATGGATGAATTCTATTAAATGATGTTTTTATGTTAATTACTCTTTGAAACACTTGCTTGGAAGTGTCAACCAGAAATTGTAAAAGTCGACATCTTTATTCATGATTATGGTTATATTTTGCAAATTTCAAACACGTCGCTTACGGTCACTTTTTCTAGATACGAATGGAGTTCGGTTTTGGGCTTCGAAACGAAACCCGCATCCCTACAGCACGCGAAATATTGCGTGGAGAAGTACTCGAATGAAAAATAAATTCGCAACTTATTGTTTGTGACATATAATTGTGCGTCCATCATTATATTTTAAATGCTAGGTTTAAAATCTATAATGATATTCTTGATGCTTAACATTAATTGAGGTCTATAAAGGTTAGATATCAGTATTTAAGTTTACTGTCGCATATAAGGCATATAATATAAGTTACAAAGTACAAAGTACATAATATAAACCTAGGCATATAGTTCACGTATGCCATCCACTAGTAATGCAATTTTCGAGCATTCAAAAGCCCCTTGAATCAACTGCAGAAGCTGTAGTGTTTCACGTAGAACATACTGTTTCGTATTTACTTGTTCCTTTTGTAGTGAAAGTTCCTGAGACAACGATTTTTATAACAGTAATAAATAAGCTTCAAAAATAAAAACAAGACCTTCAAGTTAGTTTATCCCCTAATACTACGTACAGTGCCACGATCATGTTCATAAAACTATTTTCAAACTCATCTGCATCTACCTACTTATCTTCCACTGATCAAAAATCATTATTTACATGCAAATAAAGTGTTTATTTACATGCAGTTCTGCTTAGTGCAAAATTATCGCGCCTATCAGATAGGACACTAAATTTGTTGCCAATCTTTTGAAGTTGGCGAAGTGACGCTACGCACGTATTTGCATCCTTGGCTATAATCCCTCGTAAATATTTTACATTTTGTTCGGGTGTTAACGCGCTTTTCTTCCATCTCCCAATTTTGTCAGTGCTTTTCATTACTAATCCTTCAGTTTGTTGTAATATTCATTAACAATGCAGGACCTTTCGTCGAACTCTTTGTGCCTACTAGGCCCATGCCGACGGTTGCCCATGGCAGATAAGCATAAACGACAGGTCAGAAAGAAAACAGTAAAAAGGACAGCTGACGTTTGTCCACTACAGTATCGACAAGGATAATGACAGCTGTAATAATAGCAACAATTTATTGTATTGTGCTTGGTTTGGGCTAAGCAATGGGGTAGATTAAAGCGGTAAATGCGACACCAAAATGCAGCTTTTAACACGTAAATACTGAAAAAGTTATGGATATCTGATTTCTTTATTTGCTTATTATGACTAGAATGACGTTACCGGTGTCCCCGCAGAAATTTGACAGGGAAAAACTTGCCGAAATTATAATTTATTTCATGATTTTATTATCTGCCTGAACCTAACTATAATAATTTCATCATGGAAAATACAGTGATATATGGAACGGCGTAAATTATTGTCGTGCAGTCAGGTTTTATTTTGAGAGTTATTTGGAAAGAATGAACGTTTTTTTTAACAATTCTACTTTTTGACATTTTCAATGAGCTTCTCCTAGACTCCTTCTCCAATTTTTTTTGGGTATTCTAATAGGGTATAACGCTGAGCTCTTTTTTTTGGATGTCGAGCGTTTCAAACAGATGTATTACTTCGCCTGTCTAGAACGTACAGAAAACTTTACGGAAAGATACAAATGGTAGTCGTATCGCACTCAAGGCAAATAATGATTTCCTAGTCAATGACTTCACTCGGCATTATGGTTTTCTAATATTGAAAAAAAGTTTCGCAGAAAAACGCATGCTAACAGTGGAAGGTAACAATATGGCTTATCAGCCGTCTAGTGGTCTAATAACCGAAAGAAAAAGAACTACTATTGTTTGGCGTTCGTTTAGACGTACTGCAAACTAGTTTTGACAGGTGAAGGAGTTTGATATCGGTCATAGTACTTCTAATGCTGTATGTTCGTTTACCAATCCGCTTACGGTGTGCATCTTTAGCGAAGTGGTCTCTCACCCGCCGTATTCTGGTTATAGAACAGAGAATGACTACATCGAATGAAGTGCGTAGAGCTGGGACGCCGTTTCCGAGTTAACTTCACTGAACATCATGTAAAATTATTTACAGATATCCCATTTTGATGGTATAGAACTATCAAAATATATATAATTTCCTCATCAATAGAAAAACCTGAAAGAAATCTGCCTTGATAAGGATTTTTGTCGAAAATAAACCGATCCTTATGGAATTGACTGCTGTTGAAGGCGATTTTATTTAATATATATATATATGTATATAATAAAAACGGTAAATGAAAGTATCGTCGGGACCCGATATGACTTACCAAGCTTATTGCGATGGGTGAATATCTTTGGAAACCTATAAACTGACGACTACAACGGCTGATAGAAAAATTGTGTGCATGTTACCCGTTGTCCTAGAAGTGGTTGCAATTCATCATGGCAGCAGTGCTAACGTAGCCCGCCACAAGCTTAAAAGTTCTTTCATCCTTGTTAGATTGGCCTAATTTTTTTATTTCTTTTTCGTCCATCATTAAAATCCATCTCCATCGAATTTCTTAATACGTGTTTAAAAGAGCAGTTTTGGGCTACACATATTTTTGTTTATTGAAACGTAGCTTCTCAGGAAATGCCTTTCACAACACGTTGACCTTTGACCAAATTCGACAGACATAGCCCAATCCGTATCCGTTGGGCGCTGTATTTGATATGTTGCTATATTGATGTGATAGCGCGCCGGACACAATGATCGTTGGCCTACTGTGAGATCAGTGTCTGAGAATTTCCTTACAACATAATTTAACTATTTTTCTTCGACGTGCACGATGTTTGCACAGGAAAGCACTAATAGGAATACGGTAACAAATAACAATTAATGCTATGGAAACATTCACACAACCGCAGCATCGTTCCTATATAAGGATACTCGTCTTAACCGAGAGAACCCTCTTATCGCACAAGACACGTTCTTCAATCCAATCACCGTCGAAAAAGCGTTGATGGCTGCTAAACAAATAAAGATAGATAACACATCTGGGTCAGATAATTTCGCCAGTAATGGTCAGTGTACTATTTAAAAAGTATCCAATAATATCCAATAATCGTAATTGAAGGTTTTGAGGCCCTATTGGAAAGAGACTTGAAGTTGTCACACAAGGAATTGGTCTGCTCTCAGAAAAACCAAGGTGGCTTGGAGCACCAGAATTTATACTAGCACGACCAAGCTGGAAACAACCCTCTTGATTGGAAAAGAAAATGCGCAGAGCTAAAAAGTATAGTAGAAGGGAAGAAAACCAAAGCATTGTCCGCTACGCAGTACCTACGAGTCATACTTGACCAGACCATGCATGTTACGCGGTTGCTAAAGCAAAAAATCTCGGCACAGCTGGCAAAGATTATGCCTATCATTTATGAATTGCGAGAAGATGAGCGGGAGTTCCTTATTGCACCGGCAGAGTTCCTAGTTGTCTCTGGGGCCCCTGTGCGGATAAGACCGGCTTTTAAGGCTCTCTACATCGAATACAAAAAGCCCCAGGAGATTCCTGTGACTATACCCTTCCTACAACGCATGTGTATTCAGAGAGATCTGAAATAAAGGAAGTAGAGTCACCATGGAATCTACGATAGTGGGAAGAAGGCTAAAAGGTTAGCAGACTCATCAGACTAACATAAACACACTACGCCCAGGTTGGTTTCGTAAAGTAAGTGGGGAGATAACATCCCCCGGATAGAAAGTGGTTCATCTGATGCAGTGGGCAACCTAACTGTGGTGCCTCAGGCCAGCCACTTCCTCCAAACAGTTTACAGTACTATTAAAAAGTTGTACCGTTATAGTGGTGTTTAGAATCTAGCAACAGCCACGCACTATCCGTCCAATGTTGGCACGAAATTTCCCTGCATGCCTTCCTTTGGGCGCTGTTCTGGCCAGCTGCACACTTGGATCCGTTAAACTTCGTCACGACAACAATAATGTTAACTTATAGCATGTTCATGCCTATTAGAACTTATCTGTCCACACAAACGGATACCGGGGCTGAGTGTAGATATATGGCAGGCTTACAGAACCCATAGCACTTTCTATGCATAAAAAACGCACGCATCTAAAACACATACGAGAGTCATTTATATCCATTCTGATCGCCACTAAACCTCAATAACTGAATGCTGAAAAAGTTTGCGAAATGATTTTATAGGATAAAGCCTTCAAAGCTCATTCAACTTACACATTCTTCTTTATTAAATTAAACATGTCGTGTGGCATAACTCGATGCTTTATAATATAGAGCTTACGCTACAGAAAAATATAGCAAATTACTAAATAGTCTTTACTCGACTCAAAACATTCAGCTGAATTCGTTTATTCTTTTGTAACGAGCTGCCATCTTAACTAAGTATAGAGGTTAGTAACGATCTACCTTTTACTGATCGGTTCAGGTATTAATGATGTACCTTTAAATAGGCGATATCATTCAGTCTGATTCAACACGATTTATTGATCGCCACTGCAAAGCAGACAGATTTCGGAACGGTTCGATTACTACGGTCGAATAAGCGTCCAACGTGCCATAGAAAGCATCTTCGTAATCGACCACAATCGGCCTAGTATATCTATTTTCAACCTACTTAATTTATGATTAAATTTTGCATCAACAGATCGTTTTCAATCAATCTTATCGTATTTAGTGTCGGCAAACATTGACTATTCTAAAAATGTGTAGTAGTACAAATGGACAGAAGAACATCCTGTTAACGCGCTAAAACACGACACGATTAATGGAACCGCGCTCAAAGGATGCGATCGTATTATTCCGTTTAAATACATACAGTTTATTTGATCTTCTTGCCTAGGTGAGTTATCTAGCTTTTCTTAAAATGAAACGAAACCAAGCATTGTCACGTCTCTGTTAAGGTTCAAAGAATGATAATAATTATTATGTGATTAATATAATAGCACTGGGATTGTGTGGTCGAAGATTTCAGCAAGCCAGTTCGTCAAAAATTATTCTAGAATAAATCCCTTGTGTAATGTCTATTTTTCGTGCCCATTACGAGCAACAAGTCTCCTCCTTCAGATTGTTTTTGGTTTATTTGTGAATGAATCAAAACCATGGCTAGTACAATAAGTTTGTATCGGATGCGCCGTAGAGGGTAACGCTTTCTTGCATCATCTGCTAGTTGGTATAAATGAATTTTGAATTGTGCCAACTTTACTTAAGATCATCCTCCTAATATTAGCAAAACATTATTAATAACACCTATCTATGCTATATGCAAGATGACTTATCGAGGCCATCTAGCAAATCGTCCTGGATTAAACATGGGATGCTCGGGTATTTATTTTCTAAGTATGCACAGTAATAGTAAGCACATTAAGATAATTTCTGTTTTCGTTTGCTTTCATCTTTTCGACCATTGACACGTATCAACACATTTTATCAATGACTAAAATTACCGGACTTCTTAGACAGTTCTTATAATGAAACGTAACTATATGGGTACCAGTTTGACGCGAGGGTGCGGCCTTCGGCTGAAAGAGAATAGCTGTCGCTACCTCAAGTCCCACCGACGGCACGTTCTACACAGTCT